TTTTTTTTTATTGCTATATGAATGTTGGTTTCTTACAAACTGTATACGAAAACAACAATGAAATGAAAAAGAATTCTTTAGCAAAACCAACAACAACGACAATGTAGCAAAAGAAATGAAACTAAACTAGCAGATGTTTATTAGATAAGAAGAAGAAGAAGAAAAAAAACTCAATAATAAAAGAAATTATGAAACTTTTTATTCTTTTGAAACAACAGCTGAAAAAACCAAAATAATAAGCATGCATTTTTTTGTATAAATTACAGATTAAAAAAAAATTAGATAATTTTTTTTTTGTTGTTCCAACTGATTGGGACTTTTAAGCTGTTATCGGTTTGTTGATTGATGAATACTGCAAGTAAAAATTGCGGCTTACAGTGTATCAATTTTGTTTCTTTTGCCAAAAAAGCAAAAGAATAAATTAAGTTTAGAAGAACATAATTATGCAGACAGATTCCCAGAAGTTTTTGACAGAACATGAAAAAATTATATATTTGCACTTATTTGTTGCATTATCATTTCAATTAATTTTGTTACAGGTTGGCTTTCAATTTTATTTTTGTATTTTGGGCACTGTTGCTGTGACATCAGTGGTTTCAGAATTCCAATTTTTTCTCTTCACAGCTAGAACCGCTGTAACATCATTTAGTTGGAATTTAAGCATCGATCAAAAATGTTGCATATAGCACAGTATCTATAGAAAACTGTTGAATTTATTGTGTTTTGCAAAAACCAAAAAAAAAAAATCTCTCCAATTTTTTGTCGTTAGCAACATATAAAAGCAATATTTTAGACCATTGATGTAGTTCCATTTTTTCGGCAAATTATTTTATTAGAAAACAGTTTTGAACATTGTTTTTTTATTTCACTTTCAGTATCAGAAGAATTGAGCAACAAATACCATTGAGCAAAAAAAAAAAAAAAAAGAATTTTTTTTTAGCTGAAACCATACATTTTGTTTGCAAAACTTTGAACAAAAAAATTTTGTCTATCTTGGAAACTCATCATTTATTTATGGTTTATGCAGTAATAACTGATTTGCCGCAGTTTCTTCTATACAGGACGTCTGGTCTGTAGACTACGTCAGAAGCTGAAAAACACTTTGCAGTAACAGACCGTAAAAAATAAAGAAAGCAGTAAAAAGAAAATATAAAACAAAGAAAAATTGTTTGTAAAAAAAGTTCTAAAAATACTTTCTTTCAAATTATAACAACTGCAAAAAATTTTTTTACTTGGTGGTAATGGAGTATTTTGCTCAAGAACAGGACCATGTTTTGGCAAAATATAAACTGGAGCTGCAACCTTATTTTCCACGTTATATCTGGGTAAATGCCTTTCAATAATTTTTATATTCCACGGTAGTTGTTGCCCTTAAAAGAAAAAAAAACATTTTATTTGCTTAAAATTTATTTGATCTAGTGGCATAAAATCTTGACTGTTTTTTAAGTCAGTAAAAGTTATCTGCATAAATTAACTTAGAATTCAAAAATCTTGAAAAAACTTTACTGGGCTTGCTGCTAAACCCAACTTACTTCGCGTATAATAGACCGGTTGTTGTTCAACTACTCTTGTGGCTTGTAAGACGGTTTCTGGTGCTCTGTAGATTGTTCGTGGTGCACCAATATCAGTCCTAATTTCTGCAATTTTTTAATATAACAAAATTCTGAAACAGGTATTATAAAATTTGCTAGTCTAGTACTAACTGTTTTCTTTACAAAATTCTTTGAAACATCTGATTACGGGTGCTGTAAATTATGTCTAGTAAGAGAAAACAGTTAACTTTTAAATAAACTTATACCTTGAGCTTTGAGGCATGGTTTGTTGTAATCTTCAACAAGGTACTGCGCTAAAATATAAGCTCAATTAAGACCTGAACTAATTTTGCAATCTGCAAGATTACCAAAATAATATTGTGCATTATTAGCCAAGAAGTTGTTTAAAAAACTGAAAAAACGAGGTTCGTGACTTACCAGAAGCCACTGATACCAGAAGAAGAAGTATCATTTTCGCTGGTCTATCGCTGTACAGTCAACTGATCGAAACTGTTACACAAACTGTAATTAAACATTCCTACGGTTAACATACAGCTTTATAACAAATCTTTAACAGTAAGCTTCTTTTTTTCTACACAATTAAAACAATAAAAGAATTTAAAAACGTTTTAAAATAATTTTACCAAAAAAAAGAAACACTCAAAAAAAGCTATTTAAAACAAAAAATTTATTGTTTTTTTGTCAAAGAAAAGTGTCATTATTTGTATGCTAATAACAATTACCTGTAAACATTTTTTAATTTTGTTATAAGACTTTAAATTTTTTAACTATTTTTTATATTAAAAAAAAAAAAAAGAAAACAAAACGTAGTATTTTGAAAAAAAAAGTATCAAAATTTTCAATGATGTGTCGTCACTTGTCTGCAACCATAAACCAACCAAGATTTGCTAATGACGTTAGTGTGGAAAACAAGGTTTAACCTGCAAAACTTGGTAAACTGTTTTTTGTGTTTCAATAATTTGCTATATTTGATAAGTTCAAAAGCAAACATTTTTCAACATTTTTTATACGATTACAGTAAAGAAAGCTCTAAATTTGAAAGATTCAGTAGTAAAAACAATAATTGTAACAAATCTGAACGAGATAAATGTATTAACTAAGAAATTACGAATTCAAAAAGAGTTTCGAGTAAAAAAAAATAAAATTTTTATTTTTTTCCACTGTCTCTCACCTGTAGTAAAAAGTAACAAGACTTTAGATCTTTTATAGTGTAGAGAAAAGACCTGAATT